CTCCCAAAATTCCCCCCCCAGCAACGCTGGCTGAGGAAATTTGGGAGTTGAAGTCCACCCGCCTTAAAGTTGCCAAGGTTGAGGAACCCTGCTGTACAGAAATACTTCACGGAGGATTTCAAGGCTTTACAAAAGCACAGCAATGTTGGGCCTATGGGGACTTCAGGTGGAAGCCTGTTTTGAAGGGCAGGAGCAGACACAGAGAAGGGCCATCCATATCCCCTATCAAAATTGCTTTACTGATGGGACCAAGGGTGAGCCATCTCTGTCAGATCCTACTGGATGGGCAGAAATAGCCAGAAAAAGACAGAACCAGAGGCATCCAGATTCTAAACCATAAAGATCTTTATGTGCATAACCAGCACCTTAAATGGCACCCATAACCAGCACCTTAAACGGCACCCAAAAGCCAAATGGCAACAAGTACAATTCACAAAGTATGGGTATTACATGGGTAAACTAAGAAAGAACTCTAATTACTCATGCCACTGTATTCTAAACCAGCTGTACCTTCCAAGTGGTCTTTAAGTGCAGTCCCATGTAGTGTTACAGTAATCCAAAAGGGAGGTGACTAAACTATGACTGACCTCACCCAGTGACCACACAAAGCAGGGGTTTGGGTTCCATCTGTCTTCTCTACCAATACCAGTTAGAACTAATCATGGAGGAAGAAGGAGAAACCCTCAGCAGAGTGTCCCCACTCCCAGTACCTGAGGCAGTCCATGATTAGTGGTATCAAAACCTACTGAGAAATCAAGTAGGACCAGGAATGTTGGAACCACCCCATCCTAGCCCCACCAGAGGTCATCCACAAGCGAAATCAATGCTGTTTCAAGACTATACCCAGGGCTAAATCCTGGCTGGAAAGGGTCCAGGAGATATTAAAAATGTTTTAGGAGATGTTAAAGACTGTTGTATATATGTAATTTGTTGATTTTTCTATACTTGGTTCCCATTAATGATATCACAAGAATCCCATATTTAGACATAAAGATAGAAGTCATGGGGATGGAGGGGAAGACTTTAATTCATCTAAAGTATCAACAGTTCTTGGAAAATTACATTTCTTAGGGATTATTTACAATTAACACACACCGAGCAGCAACCTAAGTCTTGGAGAGAGAAGAGAGGAAAAAGTCAGTATTTTTGGACAAAGGTGAATGTTGATATGTCTGGGAAACAGCTCACCTTATTTCCCAGATGATTCAATCTAAGATGAGGAAATTTTACTGCAGTGACTGTTCTTCTTTCCCCAGAAATCCCCTGCCAATTATGTGAATCCTGGGTGTTCAAGTAGCACAGCTCTCAGACAACTGTTTGTTATCTTCTGTGACCTAGTGGTTGCTTCTAGCCATGAGCCAGGAAGAATTCAATTTGCAGCCAATTCAAATGCAGCAATAGCAGAAATTATAATGATAGTGATGATGATAAAGAAGAAAAAAAAAAGAATGTGTTTCACTTCTCTTTTTGTGGCTTTCAAACTTTATATTCACCAGTCCTTTATTAACCCTGATGACAGGACGTCTTGAAACAGTGAGCAGTTTGCTAACTTGAAACAATATTAATATTCTTTTTATGATATTAAAAATATAACAACCCATTCACTCAAGCAGCAAATCATTATTTCAAGGAGAGATCATGGATGTTTAAACTAGCTCAATGTGTACATTCAAACATGGTTGGTTAAATTCAGATTTCATTTTCATACCATTTACTTATAATACATATCAGTTAACTTCAGTGGTAAAATATTTATAGTAAAGCATTCACTGTAGCTTCCTGTATGACAGGCAGTGGGAGGAAATTAGGAGGAATCAAAAGAACAGAAAGCGGAGGCTTTGCACAAGTACCCAATGATGTCAAAATGGTTCTGCATATGATCTGAAGTTCCAGAAAATGAAACATCACCTCAGAATGAAAAGCCAGTATGAATGGCAGGTAGTTCCAACTTGGAGTGAGAAATTTTGTCATTCATTCTGCTTTACCATGTTTATCTGTTTCTACCACTGAATGAGTGAGCCCATCATGTTCTTCCACTGATCTGGACATCACTTACTTCTGCCTTAGTCCATCAGATCTCAGTCCTTGGCCAAGCTCTATCTTTTAGGTCTCATTCTATCTGTCAGTATCTAAGACTTTGAGCTATAGAATATCTGATGACTCTATTGAGGACTCATGGCACCCTAAATAACTTTCCTCACATGTGTTTTCTTAATCTACTGCCTGTACTTGTAACTTGCTCCAAAATTGCCATTAATATATTTCCCTAGCTCAGCTCAGCACCAAATTGACTGCACCCAAAATGTTTGATGAAACAATGAAGGAGGCTTTAGCATTGATTGAACTGCTGGCAGTTTGTGTCTCTTTGCTGGTTTTTAATTACTCTTTTGGATCTCTTCCAGCTCTTCTTTATGCAACTATTTTTGGAAACGTCACTACAATTTTCCAACAAATGTACGCCAACACCAATCGCTACCATGAGATGTTGAACAATGTGAGAGATTTCTTAAAGTTATACCAAGTCCCCAAAGGCCTTAGTGAACGTGTCATGGATTATATTGTCTCCACATGGTCAATGTCTAAAGGGATCGATACAGAGAAGGTACGAGTGTGTGAGTGTGAGTGAAACTCCAGGGGTTGAACAATTGAACCTAATGAACATTAGATAATATACTAAGCTACAAAGGGAGTGGTATAATCATGCAAATTTTCATTTTTATTCTTGAAATCATTTTATTATGATGCATGCATGACTCAAAAACAAGATCAGTTGGAAATCTGATGTTGAAATATAAGAATAGAGTATAGAAACAATACAAGACATGGGTCATGGGTGACATGATGCAAAGGTGATTTGATTGACTCACCCAGAAAGACCAGATCCATGAAGCAAAGTGGCAGAGCATGGCACCTTTACATACTGGGATCGGCTGTCCTGCCTTGTTTTAGCCACTTCTCCGGTCCTTCAGGTGTCTTCTGCCCACCTGCCTCAACGTGAAGTGGCTAGACAAGAATAAACAGCCCCGCATCAACATTCATGAGCCCAAAAATGTCACTCTTGGCACTTTGCTTTTGTCCTGAAACTGATTCTGCCATCTCCAGTGCTCAAAGGAAAACAGCAAAGTGGTAGACTGTGCCTGCTTTGCACAAACTTAATTATTACAGTACAGTAAGACTGCTTCGGATAAAGCTGATAATGTCAAGAAACTGAAACCCTCTTTTGTATTCTAAAAAAGAAAGCAAGGAGGGAAAACGGGCCATGTTCTGGTTCTTCATCCTTGATTCCCCAAGGTCTTCCATCAGGAAGTTGTGACTGTATTCAGCTGAAAGTGAATATGTCATCAGTCCAACACATTTACAGACTACAATTTCTTTGCAAACCTTTCATGGGAACATGGGGATATGAAGCATGAAGGGAGCAGGACCAAAATACATGTTTCTCTCGCCCTTTCTGTAACTTCTTTGCATCTTATAGGGGTTAATTCTTAAATATTCTGTTTCTGTTATAAAATTCCTTTGTATATCTTTTTCTTTAAGTCTTCTATCTCATATACTGGGAATGGATATATGATGCTTCTGGCTGTTTCTTCATGTTTTGTGTAATTCATCTAGTATGTATTCTGTGTGGCATTTCTACTCGTCTTCCGAAAGCCGTTGCACTAAGCAAATATATTCGCATGCTTATTCTTTCTCAACGGTTGCACAAAATAACTAATGCAATGCAATCTTTAGCTGGAATTTAGTTCTCCAAGCCATGAAAATGTAGGTCCTGCTACCTTTACAGTCAATCTCTATTTTAAAAAACTCATTCTTTATGGTGGAATTCATTACATTACAGTATTATTCAGTGCTGCCTCAGCTAATACATTTCAGGCAGCATATTACTCAGTTATGAGAAATTTAATTCCATTTTTTACAATTCAAATAATAAAAGGAACAGGGAGCAATTGCATGTGCCTTCAATAAAGAAAAATTCTATATTTAAACCTTTGCAATAGGGTTCCTATGGTGACAGAAAATGATAATCATACAGAAATGTGAGTGTTTAAAAATAACTGTTGGCCAATAAAAGGTAGATCTTCCTCTTAAAATAGTTTACATGTCTGTATCCATGAGGAAAAGAGTCCAGATTTATAAAGAAGTGGTTATACCTTTTGGCTTACAGTAAATCAGAAGTGAGCAAACTTTTCTAAGCCAAATGCTACATTCAAGTTTTGTTTTATATACTGAGGGTTACACTCCTAAAAATGGGATAGGCAATGTGAAAATGGAAGGGGAAGTAGGAGGGGGCAAAGAAGTGGGCTGGGTCTGAGAAGAATAAGTCTTATTCTTTGAACCCTGTCAAAGAGAAAATATAAAAGAGTCTTGTTCAAAACATTCACTTTTCACTGTCATAAGTAAATACAGAATAGCGACTTAATATGAAGTCTATTGATTCTCTTTGTTTAGGTTTAACACAATATATCTTGTGAATCAGATTACATGTGATTTTCCACATATAATGGAGTAAATTGAGTATTATATCAAAGGTGCACAAACAGCTTTCTAATATCTTTATGCAAATAACTGTAGCAGTGTGTCTGGGTGTGTGTGTGTGTGTGTGTGTAAGGAAGAAAGAGAGAGAAATTTGGATTTAGATGTGAGTACGTGGGGTGGTAAATTAATGTTTCCTTCTCTGTTGTTTCCCAATTTAAATCAGCTTAACTAGTCATGAGGTACAAGATCTGGACACCTGTGGCTTTACAGTGTACTGTTTAGATGGCTGCTATAATCAAAGAAACCCAACGAAATTTCCCAGATATATAACACCATGCCTTCGATCACAGTTCCTGGGTTTTTTATTGGATTCTCCAATGAGCAGAAATGAAATTATTGTGATTTATGGAGGTTCAGCTAATTCAGTGGGAGAGAATATATTCCCAAATTCAAACCTTGGGATCTTCACTTAAAAAAACAAAGATCACAGACAGGGAGAAAGACCTCTGTTTGCACAGATCTCCTTACCGTTGTAAGATCGCTTAGGTCTTAGGCAAGAATCATGGAGGCTGAGTCTAGCTTATGATTCTTGGGCCATCCAAAGAAGCCCCTTACATAATTGGTGACCAAGTGGCCACTTTTGTAGTAGCCATGGATAACAATTTTATTGATATTTTGAGAATGTACCAACTTTGCAGTTCTTCGTTCAATAAATTAACCAAAATGCAGTTATTCTTTGATATTTGAACTTCTCAGAGCTTTGTGTTTCAGCTTCCTGCCTCATCTTTTTACTTAACTTATTAGATTCTCTTGATGTGGTTTTCTATTACCTGGTGCTTATTTGCTCTGCAATGTTTTATAAAATAAAGAATAAACATGTATATATGTATAAATGCATATATGCATGCAATGTTTGTGAAAAATATGAAAAACGATTATGGAAAATTGGTTGCAATAAATATATATTGTATATGAGGCAAGCATGTATTAAATAACTGCAGGCTGATAAAAATATGGGTGGGAACAAATTGGAGATGTGAAAAATTAAAAACTGAGAGTAATAGAAATGGATATATCCATTTTAGTTGTATCTCTCAAGCCTGCTCTGTTTCTCAGCATGAGTTTCCTGAGGAATGTGGTAGTTAACAGATAGGAAAAGAGTTTGAACCCAATGAAAGAGGGCTAGATGTTTTAGGGGTAGCATTTTCAGTTCCTAAAATGATGTCCATCTAGTCAAGCAATCCTCATAGATATCATGTCTATTCTCTAATTATGCTGCAGTATTTGATTCTGATTATTTTATTTTAATATTTTGATCCTTCCCAGGACAATCAAGACCTTAATACTACACTGAAGTAAAATAATTAAAGCCAACTAAATAAAACCTTAAGAAGGCCATTCATACATGTGTGTGTGTGTGCCTGTGTGCGTGTGATTTCCCACCTTGCCTCTAAGTACATGTCTTCTCACACTTCATCTTCACACCAACCTTGCAGGGAAGGCTAGGCTAAGAAATAGAGGATGGCCAAAGATCATCCAACGAGTTTCATAGGAGATCCAAGACAGCAGTCAATCTGCATTTTCCATCTAAATATTTACCTGGGGACCACAACTAATTAGAAAAGTCTAGCTGCAAAGGCACGCCCCTTTTCAGACACCCATTTCTTAAATGTGATAAATTTAAGTTTGTTTTTTTTTAATCTAAATCCATCTTAAAATCAGAATGCCTGAAGTGGGCCACCAAAAACTGGGGAAATGGCCAAACATCCTCTTCAAATAACTTTTCTTAAATGACTGTAAGAATATTTAATGTGTTCTTAATTCAGTGAAAACACTTTTCCTGGATATAAACTCCTTAGCTTTAACTGAAACGCACTTGACAGCAAGCGAAATATTAATAGGCTACATCTCTAACTATGGAAAAATAGGTCATTTCACAGAGAAGTGAGAACTCTGTTTGCTCAGATGAGAGTAACAATTAAGGTAGCTGGTAAGAAAAAAATAGCCTGGATGCTTCTTGATTAGTGTTGGGCTACAGTGAGGGAAAGATACAGACAACAGGAATTATAGAGCATGTTCTGATTGGACCACATTTACCATAGTCCTCCATTAATGCATTTCCCTGCTTCATTAGCCCTTCTATACAGGAAGGAAGGAAGGAAGGAAGGAAGGAAGGAAGGAAGGAAGGAAGGAAGAACACACAGCTGGTTTTTAAAAAAGAGGGGGGAAAGAGACAGGTCTATTCTTTCCTTGTGGCCAAAGTGGAGGAAGGGGTTGAAATCCCAGAAAGAGATTTCTTAAGGTGGCTTCATTTGCAGCTACATGTGGGAGACAAACAGCTTAAGGCTGCAATGTGAAAAAGCCTTTTTTGTAACAGAAAAATAGGGCAGAAGTTGCCTTCCTTGTGGGCTGCGTGTGGTAGAGGACGATGTTATGCTGTCCTTTCCTCAAGAAAAGATCAGTGGCCTGTATTGGGACTGGGGCAAGTTGGTTGTGTGGATCAGTCCTATGTTACATGGTAAGCATTTTAACATTTTATTCTAGTCATAGACCTGGTAACACAGCCTCTGGGATGGGGTGGGGGGTGGGGATGGGATGGAAGTATAACTAAGTAATCATATGGGCACCTTGGAAGTGTCCTTAAATCAGGTCTCACTTCTGTTCATGTAGCTCTACTCTAATTGGCACTGACTGTGTTCTCAGGCTGAGATCAGATTCTTCCACTGCTTAACCTAAGGGGTGGACAAACCTGTCAGTTCCATTTTTCATGTCTCATTTGTTACTTATAAGTTTTGTTCAGCTCAGATTCTTCATCAGTTTAGGAATTTGGTCATGAAAGATCTTCATTAAATTTGTATGAATGTCCTTCTATGGTGCTAATGTATGTATTTTATTTTATGCTTTTTCAAATGTGCACCACCTGGGGAATAACGTTAATTAGTGCGACTATAAGTTCAAACAAGAGCACATCTCCTTGTAAATGTAAGACATTTCTATCAAAATCAGCAATCTCAGCTGCTTTATAGTACCTGCGTTTCGGGTACCACAAGCTTAAACCAATGTAAAAATCTGTTTTTTTTCCAAACAAGAACCCACAATTCTTTTACCAAGAACCAACACTTTTTA